TTTGTCTCACTGCATATCACATATATTTTGGTAGGGTAGTGTTTTTATTTTATTCACTTAAAAACAACATGTAATTTTCAATTTTGATATTTCCTTTAACCCATTACAGTGTGACAGTGTGTCTTTTGCCTCTGCATTAACTCATTTCTCTTTTTTTTTTTTTTTTTTTTGGTACTGTTTTTGAACTTGGGATTCACCTACCTGAGCCTTCTGAGTGGTTGGGATTTACAGATGTGCACCACTACGCTCAGCAAATGCCAAGTACTTGCGGTTTCCAAATGAGCATTCTGAATATCCTATTGATATTTCCCCTTTGTTTTTTAAAACTGCCTGCTTTTCAAAATCTACTGACTTATTTTTTTTTTTTAATTTTTAAACTTTATTTTATTTATGTGGTGCTAGGATTGAACTCAGTGCCTCACAGGTGCTGGGCAAGCACTCTACTACAACCCTTCCCTCCACTGTGGCTAATTCTTATATTAGATTTATTTTGTTTCTGCTTCTGCTACTGAAGTTTTCTAACACAGACCAATGTTACTTTTCATTTATATATTCTCCACATATTTTATTTATTTGTTTGTTTATTTTTGACACGTTTCTATTGTGTCAGGTATTCTTTATTCAGAAGTACAATTAAYTTGCTGTAACTAGGGTTTGGTCCTGTGAATGAAAGTTTATGGGATAGGGCATTGTTTTGGACAAGCCTTCAGAACCAGGCCACTGCAGACCATGCATGCCAAACCAGTGTGGAGACACTTGTGCCTTATGCCACATATTCCACTTGAACTTTGAAATGGGTCAGTTTTCCAGAAAGCAGAGATTTCAGTTAACCTGAACCTGCTTGGAAGGAAGTCCCCTCTGTTGTAACCCTGTAAGAAAAGTAACTTTGAAACAACGAATCTGTTTGTTGTACTCTTTCTTCTGTTTTCAGCCCTTTTCTCACTGTAATACAAGCTTTCTCTGTTTCAGCTCACTGAACACTTGTTTCATAGAATAAGTGTTATTGGAGTTTAATGGCGAAGGTTCCTCTAGGGGTCCCAGTGGACTAGTTTCTGTCACCCATCTCAAGATGTCAATCAAAGAGGAGTAGTAGTGAAGGCAGGAAAGGAACTGTAATCAGTATAGTTATACCAYGAGGACAAGGGATATAAGTGTCCTCAGCCCTATCTTCAGAGGTTCTCACCTGAGCTTTCAGATTATAAGGAACAGAGCGGGGCAAAAAGTATGCATTGCCATGTGTAATATGAATTGTAATATATTCTGCTGTCACATATAACAAATTAGAATAAAAAATTTAAAGTATGCATTGTCAAGTAATCTTGGTCATACTGTGGTCCTTTTGATCATTATCTCTGGATAGGTCAGGAGGGGATTTGCCTTTGACCAAAAGAAAGTTGCTGTTGCCTAGGGTGTAGTTTGACCTCATCATAAAATGTTTTTGTCATAGACCTGTTCCCTGGAATCCAAAGTGAGTGCAGGACAGAATGACTCAGAGCAAAGAATATAGGTGTGAAATGGAGGCAGACCTGCACATTTTTTAATCTTGTTTTTAGTTACCTATTGAAGATTTGCAGGTTGTGGCACAAATCTTCAGGTCCATGGAAAGAATCCTTGAGACTTTGTTGATACTTCATTTCCTGTCTTCTGGTTTCAGCTTTAGGTCCAGCCTTTCAGACTGTAACTGTTACCTAGGCCATCTATTTTTGTTCTTTTTCTCTTCTCTATTTATGTTAGTTTCTACATTTATAGGTGACGCTCAAGTACTGTTGATTGAAGTCCCCATTCAGACGTGAAAAGCAGAAGCTAAGTGTGCTTTACATTTGGCTTGGCTGGAGCAAGGGAGAACTACAAGCAGAAACGCAACTTCTCACTAAGCCAAAGAAGAGAAAAGGTTATAGAAAATTTTGGGAAGAGTGGAATTTACGTTAAATTTAAATGAAGCACTTTATTGACCTAGAGCAAAGAAAGATAATTTCTTGAGAGTTTATCTTCAGTGACTGCTAAAAGTGGAAATTGTGTGTGTGTGTGTGTGTGTGTGTGTGTGTGTTATCATGTTCTTCGTTCAAGAGTAGACTTTATAGCCACCTCTGTATATGTGAATTGTGTCTCAAGGCAAAAATGGAATTTTTTGTTCTCAGTTCCTCTTTTGCCACTCTTTAGCTAGGTTAAAGGGAAGGCCAGTAAAACATCTACATTGCTGACATGTTCTTAACAGTTTAGATAATTGTTTTGGCAATCAGCAAGGTTGGCTTTTTCCTCCTCCCTCCCTGGTCTCAGAATCATCTGCTACACTGTCAGGTAAGATAGCATCCATGGGGTACTATTTAAGACTCTCGATACAAATAAACACTGTGATACAGATATAACAAGAGAGAGAGAGAGAGAGAGAGAGAGAGACAGAGACAAGAAACCTCTTCAAAGCCTTTGTTATCCTAGTTTATCAAATGGTAGCAAATTCTATTTTTCAGCATCATTTTTTTCTCATTGGTAGTTTATAAAATTTTCTTTCTTTTGATTTTTTTTTTTTTTGTTGTTGTTGTTGTTGTTGTTGTTGTTCATGCATTATTCTCCTGACCTTGGTGAAAAGCTTTTGGACAGTTATTTAAAATTCTCTGGTAGGGAAATTATAGCTCTATTTCATCAAGGTCAGTTTCTGGAGATGTGTTTTATTTTTTTGTTTTGAATATATCTCCCTATTTCTTCATTTTCCTTAACACTGTGCATCAGACTAAACAACCACCTTTCCTAGTCTTCACAGACTGCCCTTGCACAGACAYGTTAGGAGGCTCTGGCACCCCTGGTAAGTGCACAATCACCTACATGGGAGCTGGTATGAAAACTTGAGACAACTCCATGTTATAACCCCTACCCTGTTAGGAGTAAACTTTTTTTTTTTTTTTTTAAGAGAGAGAGAATATTTTCAATATTTATTTTTTAGTTCTCGGCGGTCACAACATCTTTGTTTGTATGTGGTGCTGAGGATCGAACCTGGGCCACACACATGCCAGGCGAACGCGCTACCGCTTGAGCCACATCCCCAGTCCTAGGCGTAAACTTTGAGCGTCACCTATAAATGTAGAAACTAACATAAATAGAGAAGAGGAAAAGAACAAAAATGGATGGTCTAGGTAATAGTTACAGTCTGAAAGGCTGGAGGACAAGGCAGAAACCAGAAGACAGCCTGATCAGCCTCACTGATTGGGCAAAACCTTGTATAACTGATCAGCCTGACCAGAGATTGTGGAGGCCCCACAAATCTTTGTGCTAGTCTGGTCTGCTGTGTTTGTCCTTAGTAGTCTCTAGATGTTTGGAGTATTCTGGGTTCCTCCAGCATTCTAAGACAAGCAAGACAGTTTTCTTAGCCAAGTTATGTCTTTGATCTTTACAACTGTTTTCTTCCCAGAGAGAAGCTAGGAGCTGTGATTTTTTTCCATCAGTTCTCTTCTGCTGAGCCAGGGGAGAAGGGACTACAGTGAACCATCCACTTGAACTTCTATCTCTGTTCTCACTGATCCCTCCTGGGTTAGYTCTCAGCACTCCCAAGATAGGGTAGACAGCAGTCAGTCTTCTGAAAGGAACCCAGAAAAGTTTGGATCATTGGGGGTGCAGTGCTTGTGTTCTTCCTCCCCAGGAAGAAGCTGGGAGCTAGAAGGTTTCCTCCTAACAGGGTAGGGGTTATGACATGGAGTTGTCTGAAGTTTTCATACCAGCTCCCATGTGGGTGACCCTGCACTCAGCAGGGGTGCCAGAGCCTCCTAACCACTTTCTGGATTTTTCACAAAGGGCATCTATCTGTCTTGGTGTGTTTGTGGGAAGGAAGGAGGGTCCAAGGCTTTCTATTTTGCCAACTTGCTGATGTTACTCCTAATCTAACTTTGAAAGGAAAAACACTTACATAAGGCCTTATATAAGTGTTACCCTACTTTTGCTCACTCTAGTCCCTGCTGAATATTATAAACATTTTTTTAAACCTTCTTCCACGCATCTGTTGGCTTTGGTTGTTAACTCAGTCCTAAATTGTGTCTTAATTTAGTTTCCATTGGCTTACCCAGCACTGTAGCAGTTACAAGTGGGTGTGTAGTCAATGGTTATTTTCTTAAGAGTGATCTTGATTTAGGCTTTTAGGGGAGGGAATAAAGAGGAATAGAAGGTAGATGATGAAATGAAATTGTGAAGTGTTTGATATTATATATAATGAGAGCAGATTTCAGAGAGTTTGATTTCTTTGGCTTTTGCAAGAGAATTTTTCAGGGATGTTGTTTTGAAGCCAGAGTTTCATTTTGAGGCCTTGGCATACCAATCAAAAAAGGCTAGCCATTGTACTTTCAGTACTTTCTCTCCTTATTTTTCTCGAGCTTCTCTTAGAGATATTATCTTTGACATGTCCAAAATTTCCCATAAAAGCTGAGGTAATTTTAGTAAGCATAATAATTTAGGATTATAGTAAGAACGTGTAGAGGAGACGAGTTCTGCCAAGAGAAGTTTGCAGCTTTCACTTTGATTCAAAGAGACAGTTGCTATAGCAGATATCTAGCCATACAACTTGGTGGCTTGGGTCCATGGTAATCAAACTGTATGATTACTAGTCTCTTAATCTTTAGCCTCTGAGCATAGAAATAAAGGACAGATTGTGTCTTCAGGTAGGCATGGGATATTTCTTTTTCACTATCTACTGGACCTCTGTACGAAAGGTCTGTTAAGTAATTAAAACTTATCATGTGTAGCAACTCCACTACTCTTCTCACACCTTCTATATTCTCTACCTTAGTAAACTACGGTTGGTTTCACAAAGTCATCTTTGACCCTTATTTCTTACACCTTTGTCCTGTGTGTCACTTAATGGTCTATGGTTTAGTGCATATAGTTACCACATCACTCAGATTTTCTTCCAATGGTTTTTTTTACCGATTTTATTGCTGTTGGTTTCTATTTTTCTATACTATGCATGAGTTTCTATAAAACTACTAGATCATGTTACTCTCTTGTTTTAAATTTCCGGTGCCTTCCAAACATAAGCATACCTGGTTTTTAGGCGTCTTTGTTTTCATAYATCAGCTCTCTCTCTGGACTAAAACCCCATTGCTTTTGTACTCCAATACCACTATAGTAACTTCTTTCTAAGGCTTATTTCATCTCTGTAAAAGCTTTCCTTGACTCCTCAAATTCCCTGATCCTTCTCTATAATTCCACAATGTTTTATCCTTACTCCTCCTTAGACTTAATCTCATCATACTATGGTTTAACCATTTAAGACTATAATTTTGAGGTAAGGACCTTAGGAAACTAATGCTTGGCTAATAAATAACAGATACCTACTAAATATTTGTACAACTGGAGACCCTTTTTTTTTCTGTGCCCCAGAAGAGTTGACACTTCCCCAAGTGTTTACTTGAGTCCATCACCCTATATAAAAATAGGTGAGAAATGGGTCTTATATTATTTGATTAATTTATACTGGGACTGAAGGCAGGATTAATGAATGAGGGTAAWGAAGAGACCTTGAAATGCTGTCAAGTGGGAAGTAGTTGGAGGAACTACGATAGTTAGCCAAAAACAAAGATCAGGTCTCTGAATATTTAAACAATTTTCATGTAGAAAAATCATCAGATGTTAATCAGTTTCTCTTTAGAGGGGAGCTATAGGATGAAGAGTTAGCAAGTTTAAGCTCAGCATTAGAACTGACTTCCTAGGGTAGAGCTATGAAAGTGGAAGCAGAATGACCTGTGGTTTAAAATACTATACTATTGTAAGCAAAGTTGGACTATATGGCTATACTGGAGTGTCTGAAGTTTTCTTGACTCAGTCTTAAGTTCCATGACCATGAATTTCATAAAAATATTGTTTTGAGCTAAGATCATCTTCTATGTATTCAATGATGGTTCTGCACTTTTGATAATGTTTAGTACTTTCTGTATGCCAGCATTCGGACATCAGTGGTAGTCTCTTGCTATAAATAATTTATGTTTAYAAATGGACATATTCTTAAACCTCTCCTCTTTTTAATTTTGAGGAACCAATGTATAATTTGTTTTTATTATTTTAAGATTAACAATTGCTAAAAATTAGTTTTGAGGCTTACTTCCTGTCTTCATCCATTTGACCTACTATAACAAAATACTTTAGACTGGATAACTTATAAGCGACATAAATTTACAACTCACAGTTCTGGAAACTGGAAAGTTCAAGATTAAGGCACCAGCAAATTCAGAGTCTGGTCATAGATGGCACCTTCTGTGTCCTCAGATAGTAGCATGGCAAAATGGTTCCCTAAGCCTCTTAAAAGGACACTGATTTCTCAAGACCTAATAACCTCCCAAAGTCCCCACCTCTTGATACTATTGCATTGGAGATTAGGTTTTCTAGGGAAGTTCAGACTTTTCCTCTGAAGATTTAATAATTGACTCTGCTGAAACAAACTGATAATAGGCAGATTAAAAGGAGAAAAATCATATAAATTTCCTATGAATTATGAAAGGCCAGTTGGTTGAGGCTTAACTACTGTTTTCATAGATAGGGGAGAAGTTGGAGGCTATAGGTAATTTAATTTTAGAGGGTTAATAAATAATTTTTAGGGGAATAGGGATGAACTTCAACAGACAGTGGTCTGGGACATAGTTCCTCTGGGCTGTAGGTGTGGTGTTTGATTTTTCAATGGACCTTTATTTTATTTATTTACATGTGGTACTGAGAATTGAACCCAGTGCCTCATGCATGCTAGGCAAGTGCTTTCTCACTGAGCTACCACCCCAGCCCCAGGTGTTTGATTTTTCAGCTTCTTTCTTTCACRTGTATTTAGTCTTCCTTGGATGATGAAATTTCAGTAAGAATATGTGGCCAGACATGGTGGACATTTGTAATCCCAGGAGGCTGAGGCAAGAGGATTGCAAGTTTCAGAGCAGTCTGGGCAATTTACTGAGACCCTGTCCCAAAATAAAATGAAAAGGGGCAACAGATRTAACTTGATGGTAGAGCACTTACTTACCTAGAATGTGTGAAGTTCTCTGAATTCAATCACAAAAGAAAAAAGAATATTTGGAGGCATGTATGTTCGTCTTTGGCAGAACCTGTGGTAAACTAGGCAAAGGAACCTCAGAGAAAACTCTTCCCTGTGTTTGCTACTTGCCAGGTGCTCTCGCTTTTGAAGTTCAGGGAGGCATATTTTATTTTTATTTATTTTTTAAAATACCTTTTAAGTCATAGATGGACATGACTTTAATTATTAATTTATTTTTTATGTGGTGCTGAGGATTGAACCCAGTGCCTCACGCATGCTAGGCAAGCGTTCTACCACTGAGCCCCAGCCCCAGCCCAGGGAGGCATATTTTAGAGTTCGGTTTTCTGAACCCACCTATAGTTTCAAACTCAGTTTTGGGGATACACATACATTCTGACCATACATTTTTCTTTCCAAATACTAAAATCATTTTTGTCTTCTTTTTATTCCTAGCAATGTCTCAGGCTGTGCAGACAAATGGAACTCAACCATTAAGCAAAACATGGGAACTCAGTTTATATGAATTACAACGAACACCTCAGGTAATATAGACCAAGATAACCTAGGGGAAATATGAGGTATATATAAACTGGAATACAGTTTTAGAAATTGAAAACTTAAAACATACCAGTAATAGTAAATTTATATACAAGACAACCTGACTTAGGTTTGTTAGCTGACACTTCATGTATTGATTCAAGATATAATTTGTCATGAACCAAGGCTATCATAATTGTGTGTAACAGGAAAAAAACAAATAGATAATTTTTCTGAAAAGTTTGGCTGTGCAGAGARGCAGAGAAATGGAGCAAAATTTCAGAGGGGAATGTGGGATTGAGTAGTTTTCAGTTTTGTTTTGTTTTTCTAAGATAGAATGCCCCTTTCCCTGCTTCCTCTTGCACATTCTAGGACAYATGTAGAATGTATCTTTCACATTTCATTATGCAGCAACTCTATTGAGATAGTAATGTCACAGGCTGATTTAATGTAGAGGGAGAGATTGCTGAAGCCTGAGACCAAATAAAATAATCCAAAGAGGGATGTCTTTGAGAAGAAATGAAGGAATTTACTTTTGATAGGAAGAGGCATAGTTCTTCTTGAAAGGAGAGAAGATAATTTATAGGTTTGATAGAAAGTGAGGAAGCTTCTTTTAATGAAATATCATATAAAGTAATCTATTGCAGGTAGAAGAATGCCTGCAGATAGAAGAAAAGGTATTAAATAGTGTAGAGAAAGAAAAAACTAGTTTGAGCAGCATTGGATGCCCATTTCTGGCTGGTGAAATTTGTAGCAATAACATTCTGGTTCTCCTCTTTCTTTGCCCCCACATTGTTGTATGCTCCAGGTGGTACGTTTATCCAGGATTCAATTTTGTAAGATCTGTTCTAAARAGGGAGATAATAATTGGTTCATCATAATAGCTGAGTGATACTTTTCTAATCTATAAAATAGAGGTTATAATTCTTAAATCAAAAGTTTGTGTGTTAGGATTTTGAGTGTTCTAACACAAATATTTATGTATGAGGTGATAGTGGTACATACACTAAGTACCCTGATCTTATTATTATACACTATATACAAGTATTGGAATGTTATACTGTGTCCCATAACTATGTATAATTACTATATTTTAATTAAAAATGTATTTTTAAAAAACATWACACAGGAAAAAAGTATGCTTGTTTAAATTAAGTAAAGTAAAATGTTTACAGTGCTTTGTGTAGAGAGGTTAAAACGTAATAATTACTTAATAATAATGGTAATTATTATTGTAAATTTAAATATATTCTACTTGAGCCCTTTATGGACATTATCTATAATTACTGACTTGGCTTGAAAGTGGTTGATCTCTGAAGCACAAGAAAGGATGAAGAAAGCACAAGTAGGATGGAGAGCAGTGGAAACAGGAAGTGTCTGTAGCATGCTGGAAAACCCTTACTTGCAGCTTCTCTATTACTTTTCATTACCCACCATACAAGAACTTTCCTTAGTCCATCTGAGCTGATATTGGTGGCTGTAGAGTTAGGTAATCTTTTGTTCTTAGTGCCACTTGTAGGGAGGATTTACTAATCACTCTGTTGCAGTGTATCCTGGAATTCTTCATTGGAACTCCAAATGCATTTTTGTAGTCAGTTAGGGACAATTACATATGGTAATACACTTCAGATGTGTTGTGGTTTAAAATAGCTGTGGGTTAGTCTGAAAACCTGAACACTTTTTATAGAATTGCTCTTAGGATAATACTTTTTTGAGGTTAAAAAGTGATTTAGAAATGAAATCCTATTAAATTGATAAATCAATATGTACTTTTGTTGGAATCTTAAAATACCTTCATGGGTAGCATGAAACACAATTTATTAAAGTGGTAATTTTTGAAGATGGAAGAATTCTTAGAGTTCGATTAGTCCTAACTTCCTTATTTTGCAGACAAGATAAAACAGTGTCATAATAATTTAGAGGCACAGAATTAATAACTAGAGCTACTAAGGTATATGATTTCAAATTTAAATATATGCATTTTAGTTATCTATTCAAATATATTCAAATGTGCTTTTTTTATTAGTTGTTCACAACATTACAAAGCTCTTGACATATCATATTTCATACATTAGATTGAAGTGGGTTATGAACTCCCTCAAATGTGCTTTTTAATCACACCAGGATAATTTTTTACTAAAGTTTTTGTATACATTGTTATCTTTAGCATTAAAATAAAAGTATTTATGAAGTGATGGTCGGGTTGAGGGGAATTAGATTATATTATAGCTGAAAGAAGATTGATTATGAGTTAACAGTGGTAGTAGTTGGGTGATGGATACACACATGTTAATTTTTACCATTTTCAGTACTTTTATATGGTCAGATTTGTTCATAATTTTTTATAAAATTAGCATTCAATTTTAAAGTGACTCTCTTACAGGAGGCAATAACAGATGGCTTGGAGATTGTGGTTTCACCTAGAAGTCTACACAGTGAATTAATGTGCCCAATTTGTTTGGATATGTTGAAGAACACCATGACTACAAAGGAGTGTTTGCATCGTTTTTGTGCAGATTGTATTATCACAGCCCTTAGAAGTGGGTATGTTGAAATAAGTTATACTGTGTACTTAAATTGTACCATGACAGGGCTCTCTGGAGTTGGAGAAATGTATTCYGACCAAAGTATTTGGTTAAAGCCTAGTTTTTAATTATTGGCAAATATTTGTTTTGAAATCATTGGTTTCATGTAATTTCAGAAGTCTCATAGGATAAGTATTTATTTTGATAAAATTATAAAACACGAAACCATGGCTTTCCTATTTGTTAAATATATAAAATAATATCCATATGAAAGTGTTATTCTAAGAAAAAAGTTGATAATCTGTAAATAAATAGAAGGTAATTTTTCCTTGTATGGCAAGGATATTAGAAGAGGGAAATATAGATTAGAAAAGGACAGTTGGGTGTTGTGGTGCACACCTATAATCCCAGTGACTCAGAAGGCTGAAACAGGAGGATC